TGCAGCTGCCCAGCAGAAATAAAGCAAAAGGCTGCAACAGCGCTGTGCCCGCAGACTCAGCAAGGCAGCACAGCGTAGGGGTGGAAGGTTGCTTTAGCATTCAATAAATAGCTGAAACCATTTTTAAAATCTTTGAATCTTTAAATCTTTGAACTTCTACTTTGCAGGGGTGACTGGATTATTGCCTCCACCTCACCCTCCTGCTCTACGAAATACCTCCTCACCAGTGATCACTTCTCCAAGTCTTGATCCAGTTGGTACAGTCTCAGCTCTTCAGTGGGCTGGAGGGGAATTTTCCCCCATCTCTTTTTGTTGAGATATTTTATACCCGCTCTCAATAATGGAATTAGACATTGAGAAATAATTTACCTCAGTGCAAAGCTTCAACGAAGCCTTGCAACATCGTTTGCAGCCACAAAAAGGATTACAGCAAGTTATCCATCTCTCCGTACCTTTTCTATGTCATGTGAGTCCAGCATTGCTGGAACAAAGAATTTGAAAGAAAAGGGGCAGCAAAGCCACTCTGGGGGGCTGAAAGAGCAAAAGCAATGGGTTCAGATGTTTCTGTTATGCATTTTAAAGTGGAGAAGCAGCAGCACAATTCCTCCTGGGAACAGCTGATGGGTCAGGGCAGATGCCCCTGCCTCGTGCCAGGGATGAAGACCTTTCCTGCCTCCTCCAGCACAAAGAAAATGCATTTCAAGCACCAGCAGTGCTGCTTAGGGTCCCGTCTGCCAGAGCAAAGGGGGTCTGGAAAAGGGAAGGCCAGGGTGCAGAAGAGCAGGGCAATACCCCAGTGCATGGCTGTGCCTGCCCCATCGACGGGAGGTGCATCCCTGCCCGCTCGGGCGCTCCAGGGCAGATCTCCACTCTGGGCGACCCACCTGGGCTTTGCTTGTGGCCATCACATCAGCAAATTAGCAGGTGCATCCTACAGCCCACGGCACTCAGTAATCATGTGGATTGGCAGCTTGTGCATTTCCCAAGGTTTGGGGTTTTCTTTTCCCTTTAAAAAAGCCAAAAAACACCAGCCTGCCTGCGAACAAGCCAGCCATGCAAAAGCCACAGAGCGGCTACAGGAGAAAGTGTAAGAAGACAACAGGAAAAATGCCTCCTGATGTTACGGAAGGATGTAGGGATCTCCACGGAGGTTCCCACTGCTTTCCCACATTCAGCATTCCCACCAAAATCAGAGGAAGAGCAGTAGAAAGTAGCAGAGAAAACTCCTCTTGCCTGCATAAAAAATTCAGTTGTGGAAAGAAAAGGCCATTTTTGGAGGAAAAAATATCACTGTCTGGAAATTTGGGGTGGAATCTACTTAAGAGCACTTGAGCGGCTCAGGTCCGGCCGTGTGCCCCGTGTCTGCAGCGGGATCGCACAGCTGGGGGCTGGCGCGCAGCCGTGCCGACGCACAATTCTGGGATTCAGAGCTGAATTCTTCAGATAAGTCTTTTCCAGGAATGTCTGACAACGCAAATGAAGCAAAGATTGCAACATTTTTTCCATAGTTCTCGGCCTCTTGAAAAAAAAAGTCATTATCTAACAAGCAAACGCAGAAATGAAAGCAACAAGCAGGCAGCTGTAAAAGGCGAAGAAGTGGGCATCTGCCCCCGACCCGGCGTTTCCTCCTCCCTCCCTGAGCTCGCTCCCATCGGGACCGCTCAGCCCTCGCATACACGGGGGGTTCGAGCCCTGCCGAGAGGAATGCAGGAGGTGGGAGCTCAGCCTCCATCGAGGCCAACTCCATCCTGCGCCCAAGGTCTGCTGATGTCCTGGGGAGCCACGGTCTGACAGTCCTGTGGTCAACCCTTGGGTTGTTTTGCTGCTTATTCAATCCCCACAGGATAATCTGTAAGGTTAGGACCACGGTCCCAAACCTGCCCCAGTGTTAAACCAAGCAAATCTTGCTGGCACCTGGTTTTAGCAAGTTCATCTTCCCATTGGGCATCCAAATAACGGTCATCTAGACAAAAGGGTCCCTGTGCGGCAGTACGGTGGGCGAGAGGAGGCTTCATCCATCCTCACCGTGCTGAGGCCAAGGGGAGCATCACAGCACAACAAACCACCACCCCAGCGCTATGGCAAAGCCCCTCAAAGCCCCCATCCGTGCTGAAAACGCGAGACCCAGCCCTACCAAATTCCACATGTTCCGAGTACTGAGTACCACTCCTTTTCAAAAAGAGAGGAAGAAATAACAGCACTACAGCGGCCACTGTGATGGCCAGAGGAAAAACTGCCTCTACGTAAAGACCAAGTTCTGCCAAAATTCCTGAACGAGGATTTCTTGCTCTTAGCCCAGAGCAGACCTTGGCGCTCTGCGATTAACCGTTAAGCACTGTCCTTGGCAGAAGCACAGAGAAACAAATTCTTAAGGCTTTCTACAACCCAGTGTAGCATGCACAGCCTGTGTTTTGAAAGAAATTTAAATGAGAACGGTTTGCGGTATTTGGTATAGGATTTTTCATATTTTTTGAAAGTAAGCATATTCCTTATGAGTATGAGGAGCATAACAAGGACCAGGCAGGGGACGAGCACGAGCCTCAGAAGTGGCCCTGCCACAGCATCCCTGCCCCGTGTCCCTGCTGTCGCTCCGCTAAGTGGCCGACCGCAGCTCCCCTGGCACAGGGCCGGTGGGACCAAGGGGCTCAGAGACAGACAGCAGGGAGGGAGGGTGCAGGGACCCACTGGAAAGGATGCTGCATGGTATTTTTATCGTGTTTTTACAAGCAGATTTTAAAAGCCTTGCATAAACCTAGGAAATATCTTTTGCTTTGGTGTTCCTACAGCACCGGTGAACTCTGGATCCTGCATCCAGGGTCCCACTGGATGAAAACTGGTCCTCAGCAGCACTGCTCCCACACCCCTGCCGCGGGGTGGAGGGAGCAGAAGCTTTTGCCCAAGGAAAACCCCCTCTTCCTGATGCCAGAGCAGAGCCTTCACACAAATAAGAGCTGTCAGAGAGCTCCTTAAGCCCTGAGCACCATGCATCTCTACTCAAACAGCAGCCCACTGGGGCACCTTATCAACCAAACTGAGCTGCTGGACCGCATTTTTAGCAGGGCCGTCTTGAATATAGCCCCTTTAATGATAAAAATCCATCACTGAAAGGATCCAGAGGGAATCTCCTCTTCGAGCAGCTTCTGGGAACAGGGCAATATAGACTCACAACACCCAGCAGGACAGTCAGACGTGGAAGAAAGCATCCCAACTGCATTTTGGACAAGCCCCTCTCAACACTGACAACTCCCTGACACACAGCATCCTGAAAACACCCAGGAAAAATGGGTGCAGGTTTGAAAAGCAAAAGATTTGGGGAGGCTTTACAGCCCTCAGCTCTGGGACTCCAGGGGGGCAATCACTGCCTTTTGTTTCAAAGCGCAAGCTCAGCAGTTTTGGAACACGCATGAACGGCCGTGAAGCAGCCTGCCTACGCTGCAGATATAGCCAACACCAGCCAACTGCTGATGAAGGACATGGCTCCAGAAGGCTCCTCGGCTGGGACAGGGTCCAGCCGCTTCCCGGCCGGCCCGGACACCACCAGGCGTCAGCAGAGACCCGCGGCGGTGGCTTCGCTCCCATCGAAACCAGAGCCTAGGCCCAAGCAAGGAAACGCTCCACTGCTTTCAGTGCAGGGAAGATAAGAGGGAGAGTGAGCATCAGCATCCACCTCCCCACGTGGGGTACCCACGAGTGTTTTGCTGCCAGCAGGCTGAGGACTAGGGTGACCTGAATCTCCAAAAACCTCTGACAGTATCCCATCACCGCAAGACCCTTTGAAAGTATTTTGTGCTCTGCACTGTGCTCATTCCCTCCTTGCCAAGACCACGTGGCGTTGGTTTGCTCCTACGCCAGGACCATGTTTCCAGCATAGTGTGAATGTGCTCCCAGTGACATCACTATGATTCACAACTGGTTTCACTGGGGGTTACACTGGGAGAATCTGTTTCCATGGGAAAGCAAAAACCAGGCTAACTGAAAACAAATGCTGGACACAGCACCACTGGCATTAGCCCTGTCTTCTGGGGAAACTGAGGCACAGGCTCACCTGACTCCCTGAGCACAGTTTCATGTTACTGGTACCACTAGGTGCCCTGGAACCTCTGCGCCATGGTGTCTTAGCAAGCACTCCTCCCCCGGTGACCTCAGCAAACATCTCACTGGGTGATGTCACCCTGATGTCACCCAGCCTTCACCCAGCTTAGTCCAGAGGTGGCTCTTCAGCCGCCCCAGATGTGCAGGTGCCACAGGGGCCGTTTCAGCAGCAGGATGAGGCAGGGCCTGAGGGCTCAGCGTATCCCACGCTCGGTGCTCGGTAGCAAACCACAGGGTGAGGAGCACGTCCAAAAACTCAGCCTGTCACAGCAGCAAAAAACAGGGCAGCTTTCGAGAGAGGGGACAGGGTGTCCTCCGGAGACAGGCTGTCCTCAGGGCACCACGTGCATCTTTAAAACCCCCTCACAATCAGAGCAAGAGGGAGGCATGCCGAAAACGGCCCCTCTACTCCCAGGAGGGCGATGGGTACCCAGCAAGCCCTGCTCTAAGGACTGCCTAGTGTTTATACATCCAAGTGTAATGGAAATGGGCTAATAACAGGAGACCACCAAAAAGCACGCGAGCCGGTCACCTCTGCTGCAGCTGAGTGTGCCGAATGCCCTGCCGCGGTGCTGCCAGGAGCTGCCCCACAGCTCGAGGGCAGCGGGGCAGAGCAACAGGCATTGGGTCTGGTACCCATACTGAGCCCCATCACAACTTCAGGGACTGATAAGGCCAAGGGGAGCAATCCCCCGCTGCTGGGCCAGCCCCGTGCCCCCACCAGGACACCAGGAACGTGGAGGGGGCAAAGGGAAGGGGTGGGAGGGAACAACCTCAGGGGGGTGCAGGGAAAAGCAAGAGGGAATCACAAATAACCTGTACAGGCAAATCCCCCTTGATTTCATAAGTCCGGGGAGGTGAATAAAAGCAATGGGCAGCAACAGCCCTGGTTGCTGGGGAGCACTCACCGTTCGTGGACGACGTCAGGCAGTGGAAGACGCTACCGGAGGTGCAGTTCTGCCAGAGGTCCGCCGTGTGCCCGCCTCACCAGCCATTGCTGCAAGAGAGCGGCAGCGCGGTGAGCAGGGAGGCGGCAGGCAGCCACGTGCCCCCCGCCAAGGCTTCGGCACCGAGCAGCCCCAGCGCCTACCGGCACGCGTGTGCCCGGCCGGGCGCTCCCAGGCACGTGCTTTTCTTTAGAAAAGGGTTTGGAAAGTAAATACTGATATTTGCTTTTAGCTGCTTTCACCTCAACGGCAGAAAAACAGAAGCTCTTTATTCTCTTGAAACACGGACCAAGTCCCACGGGGGACGCGCGCTTCCCTCCCCTCTGCCGTCCGGCCTAGTGCCCGGCCGGGCTATTTGAATGCTTCCACGTGATTTCTAACGACTCGGAAGATTTTTGTAACGTATTTTACTACTATTACCACCCCCCAAATAAAAAAAAGAAAAGAAAAAAAGAAGGGAAAGAAGAACCTGGTGAAGCAAGCCTGGAACTCACCAGCTCCACAAAACTGCTGCCTTAAAACTAAGACAAACCTCTTCCTAAGTAAATGACATGTTAACTGGGCTCTGGACCGAGAACGGTGCTGGGAACCCTCTGTGCAGCATCCAACCCTCAGTCTTCCCACTGCTTGCAAAGCTTAAGCCTTGAAAATCGCCAGCAGGAGCCCATCTGGGTTAGGAGAGAGGCTGTGCCTAATTCACAGCCCCAAAGGAGCAGAGCTGGAGAGCAAAACTGCTGGTGCTGAGGAACCAGTGCCCAAACCAGTCCCATTTCAAGGGGTTTTGCTCAGACTGGCTGTACTGGTCCTGTGGGCTGAAGCCCGTTAGCAGGTGGAGCTCCTTTATGAGCAGGGAGTGTGGTTTCAGGCCCATGGAGGGTATTTTGGGTGCTCCAAGGCTGCGAACCACCATGGGGACGATGAGATGGGCTCCAACAGCGCATCGGTACTAACAACGGGGATGCCCTGAGCACCCGCTGCCGCACACAACCAAGCCACCCACCAGTTGCACCTGACAGCACGAACATGGAAAGAGCTTTCTGTGCACAACACTCCAAAATCCCACTGTTAGTAAGACCAGCAAGTAAAGGTTTCCTGCGAAAAGCCAGGCTGGAAGATAAACCACAAATAAAAATAACACCACCTGGTCTTGCCCTGCCATAACCACCCCGCCGGCCGCTCCCCGCCTTGCCGGTACCGAAGGAAAGTCCGTACTTACGCTAACGATGGTGGAGACGAAGAGGAGCACCAGGACGGTGACGTGGAGCACGATGATCCCCAGCAGCAACAGCAGCATCTTGGCGGTGGTGGAGGGCCGAACTGGAGGGGGAGACGGATGCTGCTGAGGCTGTGTCTGTGTCCGTGTGTCTGTCTGTGTCTGTGTGTGCGGGGCCCGGCCCGGGGCAGCAGGAGGCGCCCCGCCGGCGGCAGGAGCCCGCCCGGCTCCGGGGATGCTCGGGCAGCGCCCGGCTCCCGGGCTTCTCCCCCCGGGCCCCGCCGACGGAGGCGGGGGGGTCCGAGCTCTCCGCCCGGCCCCGCTCCCCGATACCCCCGGGGATCCCCCAAGACTTCTCACCGGGGCTGCCCCGGCCCCCCTCCCCCGGGAACCCCCGGGGGGGCTTTCCCGAGGGGGTCCCCAGCCCCTCTCCTTCGAGGGGGGGCTCCGGTCCCTCTCCCCGAGGGCAGTGTGCTCCTCGGCACCCCCGGGGGGGGCTATCTCGGCGCATCTCACCCAAGGGGCTACCCCGACCACTCTCTGCCAGGAGCGGGGGTTCTTCTGCCCGCCTACCCATGGGACCCCCGGGGTCACTCTGCCGGCCCCTCTCCCCAGGGGAGGCTTTCCCCGGCCCATCTCCCCTGGCGACCCCGGGGTGGGGGGCATCTACCTAGGCTCCTCTTCTCTGGGGGGGTCTCCCCGGCCCACCTCCCCTCGGCACCCCAGCAGGGGCTCTCTTGGCCCCTCTCCCCCCGGGGGGGGGTATCTTTCCCCAGCCCATCTCCCCTCGGAGAAGAGGGGAGGGGGACTGCCCTGACCCCTCTCCCTAGAGGACCCGCGGAGCGGGGGCGGGGGGGCTCCCCAGTCCTTCTCCCCCCGTGGACCCCGCAGGGTCTCTCAGCCCCTCTCCCCCTCGGGGCGGCTCTTCCCCTCTCGGGCCGGCGGAGCGGAGCGGAGCGGAGCGGGCCGGGCCGTACTCACGTCGCGGCGGGGGCGGGCGGCGCCTGGGCGCGGGGAGGGGCGCGGGCG